TTCAGTCTCTCTCATCCCCCATGGCACAGGGTCTGGACTGCTGCAGAGGGAGCCTCTCCTCTTTCGCACTGTGCCTGTGGTGAAAATTAGCGGGGTGCTGCTGATGGCAGTCCCTGCGTTCAGAGGTCGCAGGGCTGGAAGCAGAGCAGGCTGTGCAGCAAACACGGCTGTGTACTGTGGCGGTGTTAGAAGAGGATGCATGGACAGGAAAAAATGACTGTGAACAAGTGTGAATGCTGCAGGTTCCTGTCGTAATGGTCTGGGATAAGGCCTGAGCCCTTTGGCCCGGCTCTGTGCATTTGCTTGCTGAGGCTGGTGAGAGTGAGCTGTGCTGCAGTCCCCAACCCTTGGTCACTTCTGTGTTGCGTACACAGCAAACACCCCCTGTGCTGATGCAGCTGGTGGCTTGTTGCCCTCTGGGTGCTCATGTGTTGACTCATGCCTTGGTTTGAGCAGCCAGCATGGGAGATGCCTGGCTTGAGCCCGAGGAGAGGCAGGGAGAGCCCCTGGCAGCCCAGCAAGGGTCACTGTGGGTCACTCTGACTCGGACGTGCTGCAGTAAACTGGGGAAGTGTCGTCACGCACATTGGCTGCCCCCCATGCCAGTAACCCCATCCATTCTCTGCTGTCCAGTCCCTGCTCTGACTTGGGGCTTGCTGCAGCTACGCTTGGGAGCTGGGCACGTAGGCCAGGAGAGGCGGCATCCGTATGCCCAAGATACTGGCCCTGTCTCGTCAGGGGTGATGGTTATGCTGTGCCAGGTGGCTCTGGGCCCAGTGTGCTCTCTGGGAGGTGGGCAAGTGGCATGGAGCACAGAGCTGTGCAAACACCCCACTTCCCTGTGCCAGAGACACCCCTGTCCTGGTGAGCATGGGGATGTTGTGCCAGCCAGCTCCTGAACATGGGCAGGGGCAGCAGCCTAGGGTCTAATTGTACTTGGAGATGGCCTTGGCAGCTGGGTACAGGGTGTCGTGAGCTCTGCATCCCATTACCCCCCTCCTCCAGCTCCCCAAAACACTGGGCCCCAGAGGGCAGGCTGCCCAGCCACGCTCCAGCATGCAGGGCTGGCACAGGGAGGTCCCTGTCCTCCCAGGGGACAGTGGACATTCCAGCCAGCTGAGAGGCCGCTGGACGATGGCCATGAGAAACAGTGAAGGGAAGCACAGATGTCACCCGAGCCCTGAGAACGAGGGCAGCCTGAGAGCTCCTCGCCGCTGTGCTGGCAGAGGAGGTCACTACAGCACCTGCTCCCTGCTGTGCCTTTCGCTGCTGCCTGCCATCAGGGCCTGGGCACTATGCTGGCTTCATGCCCACCTCCACTGTGTCACCCTGTGCCAGGCAAATCAGCCCCTTGCCTACAGCTGAGCCTTGCTCCTGGGTCGCTGGTGTTTCTCAGTCTCCTGGTGCCCAGCCCTGTTTCAAACCACCAGTGTGGGTTGGACTTGCACAGCTGCAGAGCTCGGCTCTCCGGGGAGCGCTGACTGGGCTCTGTCCGGGGGAGGTGGGAATAAGGGAGGAAAGCAGAGAGGGGTCTGAGGAGGCGGGAGCAGAGTGGGACTGGGAGGCCAGGCATGGGCGTCCAGGACTGTCCTGCAGGCCACGTCCCAAAAGAGGGTCCCATTGTGCTAGGCACTGTACGGAGAGATGGTCCTGAGGGCTGCAGTCCAGAGATGAGGGAGAGGGGGAAAGGCAGGCACATCCTGTGGTCTCTGTCCTCCTTGTCCCATGCGTGCATGCGGCGGTCGGACACCGCCCTGCCAGGCTCGGTGTTGATGTCCTCTCTGTGTCCCGCCCAGACTGACTATGAGCTGTTCCCAGATGAGAAACGCAAAGAGATGGGCAAGGAGGTCATCCGCCAGTTCTTCAGCACAGAGGTGAGCCACTGTCGGGGTGGGGGGGGGCAGCCCAGAGGCCGGCACTCAGCGAGGGGAGGGTGCCCCTTGGTGGCAGCGTGGCAGAGGTGCAGGTTTGCATCCCAGGGCACTGCTGCTTGCACCGGACTGAGTGCATGGAGCCCTGCACCCAGGACTGGGCTGGGGGCTTGCAGTGGAGGAGCCCAGTGTGCGGACAGGGTAGCTGCGGAGGTGGCCCAGACCTGCCAGCCCTCATGCCTGCGGCACTGTCTTCTGCCCCTGCAGTCTCCAGACTACCTGCCAGAAATCAGCCAGGCCCACATCAGCCAGTGCTTGGAGAATCTGCAGAAGAGCCCCTGCAAAGACCTCTTTAGCAGCTGTGTGCAGTGAGTACCAGCCCCTGCTGCCTTCCCCACCACTCTGCCTTTGCGGAGGGGGCCTGCATGCCCTCCTGTAGCCTGCCCATGAGGGTGGAGAGGGTGCTGGGAGAGCAGTGTTAATAGCCTCTTCTTCCCCCAGGCCCTTGCATGAGTACCTGAGCCGAGGCCCATTTACTGACTACCTGGGCAGCATGTACTTTGACCGGTTCCTGCAGTGGAAGTACCTGGAAAGGTGAGTGAGCTGGCAGCCTCTACCCTGCCTCCCTCCTGGGGCTGAGCTCAGGCGGGGCTGACTTGAGCTCTGTACTTCTGTTGCTGCAGGCAGTCGGTCACCAAGGACACTTTCCGGCAGTACCGCATCCTCGGCAAAGGGGGCTTTGGAGAGGTAGGGGTGCGCATCTGGAGGGGTGTTGGGGCTGTGCCGGGTGCTCTAAGGTGTCAGGGCCGCAGTGTCCGGAGTCCTGTAGCTGAGTGATGGGCACAAGGGCAGGGCTGCCGGTCCTGCAGCCTAGGCATGGGGCAGGGTCCCTGCTGTAAAGTGCTGGCATTGGGGCTGCCCGTGGCAGTGCGAACAAAAAATGAGCGGCTTGATTTTGTGCCCTGGGTACAGAGCGGTGTGAAGCAAACTGGAGCGGCTTGTTCAGTCCCTCTGCTTCTGGCCTGGCCTTCCCACAGGCCCTGGGGGAAGCCCGTTCCCACTGTCCCCTCTGACTCGGCCTAGCTCCGGGCACCAGGAGAGAACTTGGCCTCCAGGCCGTGGTCATGTCTGTGGCCCTGCTCCCCAGCAGGGGGATGGGCTGCTCTGAGCGGGGGTCTCAGGCCATGTGGTGTCCGCACCCCCAGGTGTGTGCCTGCCAGGTACGGGCTACGGGGAAGATGTACGCCTGCAAGAAGCTGGAGAAGAAGCGGATCAAGAAGCGGAAGGGGGAAGCCATGGCCCTGAATGAGAAGCAGATCCTGGAGAAGGTCAATAGCCGGTTTGTGGTGAGTGTCACCCTGCTGGACCCCGAGCCATGATTCTGCCTGTCGCTGCTGCTCCCAGCCCCCGTGGCCTTGGGCCCAGAGGTTGGGTCCTGTGCAGGAGCCTTTATCCCAAATCTCCACTGGGCACTAGCAGGTCATAAACCCCCTGGTGCTCCTGCATGGGCAGTGGGTGGCTAGAACTGGGCTCCCCAGTGCTCTCTGGCTGCTGCTGGTGTGGGAGTAGGGAGCTGGCAGTGGCACTGCAGGGCTGGCCCTGATCCCTCTAGGGTGGGGGGCTCCTGCAGGTGAGCCTGGCTTATGCCTACGAGACGAAGGACGCGCTGTGCCTGGTGCTAACCATAATGAACGGTGGCGACCTCAAGTTCCACATCTACAACATGGGCAACCCCGGTTTCGATGACGAGCGCGTCATCTTCTACGCTGCCGAGATCTGCTGTGGTCTCCAGCACCTGCACCAGGAGGGCATTGTGTACCGGTGAGTGGGGCTGGGGTCCTCCACAAACCAGCCTGAGCAGGGGTGATGCCTCCTCTGATCCTGGCGAGGGGCAGGGGAGATGGGATCATGCCCTGCCAGGACCCTCTTGGGAGGGGGAAGGGACCTGGAAGTCACTCCTCTGGGAGAGCTGCTGGCAGGCTGCATGATAGGGGTCCGCCTGGCCTAGGGCTGCAGCCTGTGGCTACCAAGCAGCTGTGTGCATGGAGATGTCCAGCCTCTGTCTCGGTGGGAAGGAGCTGGGAGGCCACAGATGCTCTAGACCTCAGGCCTGCGTGTCTTCATCTACCAATGCTGCCCCAACAGGCCCAGGCGGCTGCAGGTGCCCTGCACTGAGCCACGTTGTCTCTCCCTTTGCAGGGACTTGAAACCAGAGAACATCCTGCTGGACGACGACGGTGAGTGGGGGGCACCGACCCGAGCTTGGAGGCCAGTGGGGTTGTGAGCCCCAGGTCCTGGCACTGGTGGCTAGTGACATGTACCCTCCTACCCCGATGGATCCCCCTCGCCCTGGAGGAGCTGCGATGAGTGTGTCTGGCAGGGGCTCAGCAGAGCATATGCTGTCAGGGATGCAGAGTGCGGGCAGCTTGAAGACCTGTGCCAAGTGGTTTCCATATCACAGGCCTTCTGCAGTGCAGGGGAGAGCTGCTGGGCACTGGGGCTGACTGGCCTGTGGGATTTAGGCCCCTAGTGCAGGAGGATGGTCTGGATCCCTGTGGGGGCTATGGGACAGGTAGGGACAGCTTCCAGGACAGCCTGTGAGCCAGGCCCTGTCTGCTCTGTCCTAGGACGCCCTGCCTTTCTGGTCCCTGGTGCCGCTCCCACCCTGGGCACAGCCATGTTTAGTGCTGATGGGTGTCTGTGTCCCCTTGGAGTAGAGAGGCTGTTTCCTTGTCCCCATCTCTGACATCCCCCTGCTCCTGGCTATGGCGGCCCCCCTTGTATCCTCCCAGCAGGCCACATGCTGAATGGAGGCATGTGTGCTGAGACCCCGGACAGGGCAGGAGCTTGGTACGAGGCCAGGCCAAACATCTTCCTGCTGAGCTCCTCTGATTATCCTCCCCTGTCTTGCTGCAGGTCACATCAGGATCTCAGATCTGGGGCTGGCCATTAAGATCCCAGAGGGCGAGACAATCCGGGGCCGGGTTGGGACCGTCGGCTACATGGGTGAGTGCTGGGGTGGGTGAAGAGGGGAGCTGGGATCTGCAGCACTGGGCCAGGGGCTGGCATCTGGGGGGAAGCGGCTTTGATGTCCGGGTTGTATCGGGCTGGTGGCAGCTCGGACCAGGAACTGGCTCCGAGTCAGTACCTGGTTTTTAATGGGGTGCACCTGGGGGCTCCCCCACTGTGCTCCCTGCAGCCCCAGAGGTGATCAACAATGAGCGCTATACCTTCAGCCCTGACTGGTGGGGGCTGGGCTGCCTGGTCTTCGAGATGATCGAGGGGCAGTCACCCTTCCGGGCCCGCAAGGAGCGAGTGAAGCGGGAGGAAGTGGAGAAGCGGGTGCGGGAGGAGCAGGAGCTCTACTCGGACAAGTTCAGCGAGGACACCAAGGCCATCTGCAAAGCGGTGAGTGCCCAGCCAGACCCCAGCACCTGGTGGCACGCAGTGGCGGGGGAAGCCCTGCCCGGCTGGCCCTTGCCAGCGATGCCTCGGCCCTCGGGCAGGGCCGGGCACGCACACAGCAACGAGGAGCTGCGGGGGTGTTGTGCTGCATGCCAGGAGTGACCACCTCTGGGGCTCCTTGGGGCTAAAGGGTGCCCAGCCACGCAGCACAGCAGGGCCCACAGCTCCTGCATCACTGCTGCTGTTCACTCGGATGCAAAAGGTGCTGTTACCCTTCTGGGTGGAGAGTGTTGACAGGAGGGGAAGGATCCTAGCTGGGGCAGCATGGGGAGAGGGGCAGAGCTGGGGTCCTGCCGGTGTGAGCAGTGGGAAGCAAGGGCTGCATCTGCATGTGTTTGTGCAGCACTTGGCCCTTGGGGCCCGTTGCGTTGGAGCCTTCACAACCACCAGCAGGCCCCTTGCTGACCCCGTGCCAGCGCTGGGGCTGCCTGTGGGGCACAAGGCAGCTGGGGAAGCCCCTGTCTGCTCTTTGCAGCCTATGCCACCGAGCTTCCTGCTGGCCTCTCCCCCCAGTGACTGTGCTTTCTTGGTCCGTCTCCCCAGCTCCTGGCCAAGGACCCCAAGCAGCGGCTGGGCTGCGGGGAGAGCGGGGCAGCTGAGGTCAAGCAGCACCCCTTCTTCAGGACCATCAACTTCAAGCGCCTGGAGGCTGGGGTCATGAAGCCGTCGTTTGTGCCAGACGTAAGGCTGGGCCATGGCAGGACAAAGATTGTGGGGCTGCTCTGGCCATGCTGGCTGCAGGGCAGGGGGTTGGGTGGGCTGCCCTTGGCCAGGGTCTAAAGGACTGGGGCTGGAGCTGAGCGGTGGGCTAAGCTGTATCTTGGTTTGCCGCAGCCCCGGGCTGTGTACTGCAAGGACGTGCTGGACATCGAGCAGTTCTCAACTGTCAAGGGCGTCAACCTGGACCAGACGGACAATGACTTCTACGCCAAGTTTGCCACTGGCAGCGTCTCCATCCCTTGGCAGAATGAGGTACCGGGCTGTGCGCGCCCTGCCAGGCCCCTCCAGCATTGGGCTGCTTCGTCCTGGCCATGATGTGGGCACTGATGGGGAGGGCAACTCTGCCTGGGCCCCTGCTCCTGCGGGCTGCTCAGTGGGGCTGGGTTTGAGCCTAGCAGACTGCCATCGGGGGGTAACAGTCCGCTGATGCCCTGCACTGTCTGCCCCCCCAATGGAGCAGCAGGAGACTCGCAGCAGCCTGCATCCTGGCCAATGCAATGCATCAGCAGGGTCTGCAGTGACTCCTCCCCATGCCCGTCTGGAAGCCAAACTGGGGATTTCAAGGCAGCTCCAGCCAGAGCTCGGGTGGACCTTGATGCCAGCATCTGCTCTGCACCTTCTCAGCTTGCCTGGGGACATAGATGGTGGGATGCAGCATGGGGCCAATGCTGCTCTGTGCCCAGGGAGGCAGCCAGCTTGGCTCCTGTGTGCCTGGCCTCTGGGTTCTCGGTGGGAGTGGGGGTACCCACATGCAAGGCTCTTCCCAATGCATCGGACCAGCTGGCACCTTCACACTGACCTGTTAGGGGCCAGAGCCCCACTGCCAAGGTGCCAGGTCCCAGTGTTCCTGTTCGGTCTGGTCCTGGGGCCTGCGCTGAACATTGCCTCCATCTTCTCCCCCAGATGATTGAAACCGAGTGCTTCAAGGACCTGAATGTATTTGGACCAAACGGGATGCGCTCCCCAGACCTGGACTGGAAGCAGCTTCCTGAGCCCCCCAAGCGCAGCTTGTTGCAGCGGCTCTTCCGGCGACATGTGAGGCCTGCTCTGTCCCGCCTGCCTCGTGCTTCCCCCCTGTCTGCCTCGATCTTTGCCTAGACTGGGTCTGGGTCCAGTGGGCCACCTTCAGATGCATTGCCCACCTGAGTGCCAGGGGGAGGCTGTCTGTTGGCTCTGTGGTTACTGTAGGACAGTGCAGACCCTGGTCCAAGTCCTGCTGCGTGGTGGGCTCTTCTTGCCTCCTGTGCTGCCCAGCCATCGCCTTTCCAGAGGCCCAGGATGTGTGGGGTAGAGCTGGGGCTGCTGGAAGCTCCTGAGCTCTGCCCATGCCCCGTGGCCTGGCTAGGCTGACCTGCCCTCCTGTGTGGGGCTAGTGTAGCTGGGCCCCTCGGGGCTGGCTAACTGTCTGTCTGTCTGTCTGTCTCCCTTGCAGCCAGCCGACTATGCCCTCAGCACCAACGCACACTCCAACCTCCCGGCAGGCGTGAACTCTCACTCCCCAACAGCCAACTCTGCCTGCCAAGGCCGGTCCACGGCACAGGCACCCTCCTGACCCCAGCCCTGCCGCGGAGAACCCGCTCCTTGGGAGCCCCAGCCCGGACACCTCCCATGGAGCCTCCATCCTTGCCTTCTCAGGGTTACCATGGATGTGAAGCAGAGGCTGCTGGAGCAGTGCCGGGGATGCGGAGGTGGTTGGGCCACCTACGTGCCCGGTAGGACTGGGTTGCTCACAGAGGCTGTGTCGGGAGGGCGTTTGGACTTTTGGGCTGGAGCCCTCTTTGTGCATGACAGCTGGGACCAGGAGCCAGGCCTGCCCTTGGCACCTCGTCCTGCTTGCCTTGTCTGGGGGCATCATGGCCGGGCCAGCCCGGCTGTGCTCTGGACAACCGTGTGCTCCGGTACAGCCTGGCTCCAAGGGTCTGTGCTGCTCAAGGGGATTCCTCAGCCCCCTGCTCCTACTGTACCCAGGGACCTAGCAGCTGGGTGCTGGGCCTGCAAGATGCCCCCTTGTCTACTTGCCTAGCCCAAAGGGTCAAGCTGGGATCCAGTCATCTCCTCCAGTACAGTCAGGCTGTGGGAATGGCCACCAGGGTGGGGGGAGGCGTGAAACGAGATGCTGCTTGCCTGGCAGTGGAGCAGCGATCTGTGTTGCCGCAGGTTTTGCTGCTGGTATTTGGGCCTGGGCATGGGATGAGGGGTCCAGTGGGCTTGGACTCAGGCCTGATTTGAGCCCCATTGCCGGCAGGGAATGGAAGGGGTGCGAGTCTGCGTGTTGCCCTCATGCTGCCGGGGAGCTGTGCACATTATCTTATCGCTGGCTGTTTGTGGGACCTCCGGGGCACGGGGAGCCTTGGCCTGGGTTCAAATGTGTGTTGGATTTTTATCTCTAGTCTCCAAGTAGCAGCAAGTGCAGCCTTGGAGCGGTAGGCAGAGCAAGACAGGTGCCCTGCCCCACACGCCCCAGCCTTGCGCTGAGGATCTGGCCAGCACTGAGCAGATCAGGCGCTGACATGCAACTCACTGCTAGCAGCAGGAGCTGAGTTGGGGCAGGGAGGTGCTAAGATCTGGGGCGGCATAGACTCCCCGGCACTTTGGCACAACAGTGGGCAGCTCCCCACTGCACGGCTGAACCGGAGCCGAAACACGGTGTGACCTGAGCAGCAGCGGCTGGCATCCTGATGCTCTCAAGCTGGGCAGGCAAAGGAGCCCCAGGCTGGCGTGGTGCTAGCAACATCACCAGCTGCTGTGGCATGGGCCCAGCCAGGTCAGTAGTACGGCCCTGCTTCGGCTCAGGTCTGCGAGAGCCTGTCGCAGGAGGCCAAAAACTGCCTTCCCACCCTGGCAGGAGGAGGAACAGAGCAGGGGCTGGGATGGGCTCCCTACTTGGCAGGCCTAGTGCAGCTGTCCTGGGCTTGCTTTGGGTCTCCGGAGCTCACGGCAGCTGGCTAGGGAAATGGCTCTGGGCGCAGCAGCATGTCTAGTGGTGTGAAAGCCCCCATAGCTATCACATGCCAAACCCTGCAGTGAGTAACCTTGCAGGGCATCAGCCCGGGGGGGGGTTGTCTCCCTGCAGTGTGCAACATTGAAGTGAATTGCCTCTCTCAGGTATTTCAGCGAGCTAAATGCAGCTTGCCTGAGTTGGACACTTCTGGGGCAGGGAAGGACTCGGTTGGGGGGGCAGCATGTTGCATGGTCCACACTGCCTGCCCTGTTTTAAGAGGAAGGAAGCACAGAGGGATTTTTTTGGGTTCTAGCTGGCTGGATGCTCTCGGCTGAAAATGGTGGTGCAAGAGCTCAGAAGAGTATAGGGGATTCGTGCCCATCTCGGCTGCTTTGACTATCTCCACCCCTACACTTAATAATCCCTCTACGCTCATGTCACCGATGGCAGCTAGAATACAAAGTGGGTTTCAAGAAATGGATTGTGCGTTGTGGTTCCTTTTTTACATTCCTCTCCCGGGGGAAGGTGGAGTCCGGCTGGCGGGTTGGGCTAATCTCACTGGCTTCAGCCTGGCTGCCATGACTGCAGGAGCCGGGGGGAAAACAGACAAGCTGTTTGTATTGATGTTTTCCTATCGATAGGGGGGGAAAAAAGGGTTTGCACCATGAGAGAGGGTTGATTCAGCAGAGAAGTCTGGGGCCTCAACAACTTGGCAGACTCAACCTCCGTATAAACGAGCGAGAGAGGATGGTTTCTGCTGCGATGCCTGTTACCCGTGAGCCTCGCAAACCAATCCTGAAATAATCGCTGCCTGGCTTGGGGAGTTGGTGGCTTGTTTATTTGTCTTTCTTCCCCCTAGTGCAGATTTAAATAAAATAGGTTTTTTAGTTATATATTTATATATATCAAATCTATTTTGGGCTTGTTTTGGCCTGAGAACGTGCCTGAAATAGGTTTGATTTTAATTTTTTAAATTTTTTTTTTTGCCCCCCTCCCCTTCCTGCTCCATTGGATCAGAGAGGAAAAAGGCTTCAGCTCCTGTTTTAGACTTGTGTGCGTGCGAGAGAAATTGTGTACATGTGGTAAAGACTGAGAACTGTCCTCAGAAAGATGCTCCACGACCCCCTGACTTCCCCAGGAGAGACAGCATGCCACATGGACCAGGCTTGTTTCTGGGCAAGCGAGGGGCATGACACCAGATTCTCCAGCACAGGGCTTGGGGAGGGGGGGCGAGACCAATTCCTGTTTGCCAAAGGCATCTTGATGTGTGCGTGTGCCTTTCCATCAAATGCCATCGGTTGGTTTCTCTTTGATTTTCACACTGTAGCTCCCCGGGGCCAGTGCACTCAGTTTACGTGCTGTTTAGTTTTGTACATTTGTAAACATTTGTAAATATTTGTATGTTGACTGCCTGGATGTACATTTTTAAGCTAAAAGCTGCCAACCAAGCCATGTGGTGACTCTACGCATGATGTGTCGGGGATCTTTTGATGCAGAACTTAAAAACAGCCGAGAAACAAGGGATACGTGGCTTGTCCCTCGGTCCCCATCAAGGGAAAAACACCCTCTGCGTCCACCGTGGTTCTGCAGTGGGCTTGGTATGCCTTTCCCATTTGTAATGTACTTACAGCACTCTATTCCAGCTTGCTTTTCTTTTCCTTCTTCCCATCATGTAAACCACTGAAATGTCATGCATGGCTTCTCTATCCCTTCCACCCCCCACCCCTTCCTTCCATCTCTCATCCTTTTTCTTTTTTCCTCCTCCCCTTTTTTTGGGTTGTGCCTTTCTGGTGCCTCCAGGTGGTTTAGGTTTACATGTACATGCACGCATGCAACCCCTCCCTCGACTCGAGCCTACAACCTACCAGGTTGTCAGAGCCCCGCAGTGGGGCTGGGGGGAGGTCCAAGCACCTCTGCAGCCTGCGAGTGCAGCCTGTGCAGGGCTGATTGCAGAACCAGAGCCTTCCCCTGCAGCACTGGGACAAGTCTGGCATCAACCAGTCCGGCTGCCGGCCTAATGGACTGACAGCCCTGAGACCCAGAGCCGTCTTCGTACAGCGGCCACGATGCTGAGCCTGCAGCAAGCGCTCCTGGGCTCTCACGGATGGGCGCTGTCACTGTTGTCACCAGCATGGGGGAGAGGAGGTTGCCAAAGGTGCAGCAGGGAGATGGCGGCAGAGCTGGAGCAGGACTCGTCGGCCCTGCTGCCCCTCCAGGAGCTGCGGTCGTTGAGCTGGTGCTGCCGCACAGGGACCTGGGCTCTGCGCCTCACCTTCGTGTGTGTCTCCGTGGCCCAGCAGCGCCTGGAGGGGATGGCTGAGTGGCTGAGACGGTGAGTCTGTACAGAACAAGGTCAGCGCTGCACGCTGGGCCTCCCACCAAGTGCATCTGCAGTGAAAGCATCTCCCACCCTCCACCCTGGAGGTAAAGCAGGGTTTACCACCACCACCCTTTTTGCTTTCCGCTTGGTCTTTAAACCAGGTCCCAGCCTGGGGAGCGACAAGGTCCATGCTGGCCGCTAGATGGCCCTCGGCACAAGCTGGATGCTTGGGAGCTCGGCTCCTGGTGCTGGTTCCCCTGCTGAGCTCTGGCTAAACCTGAGATACAGGCCCCCACCAACTGGCCAATGCTGGGGGCAGCTGCAGCTTGGTGTGGGAAGGGATGCAGGACTGCCGGGCATCATTAGGGGCAGGGTGAATTGGGGCCCCGAATTTACCCTGAAGATGGGAGGAGCCCTCCTGGGTGTGTCCTGCCTGCAGGGTGAGCATGAGCACTTGGCCCCATGATGCCTGCAGCTCCAGCCCCACTAGGACCCTGAAAATGAGTGGTGGCCAGGCTGGGTGTGGGGCCAGGCCCTGTGACCCTCCTGCTCTGTTCATGTGCCGGGCATTGGCTCTGCATGAGCTTCATGCAAAGCCATTCGTCTGGGGCTGGCTTCATGCTGCTCAAGGCAGGGACCCTGGGGCCTGTGCAGGTGCAGCTCGGGGCAGTCCTGCACCTGGCAGCCTCCCACAGGGCCCCTTTTCCCTGGTAAGTGTCCAGCACATCCCTCGTGGCAGTGCCATGGCACTTGCCCCACCATTGGGCAGACCAGGCAAGGGCCAAGGACTCTGTGTGCACTGAGGAGCATGTGCCTTTGCCCCCAGCCCTCACTCATCTGCCCACAGCAGGATCTGTTGCTAAAGATGCCCAGTGCCCATGGGGCCAGGTGGAGCTGGGGTCTAGCATAGGCGGCACTGTTTGCTGTCCCCTTTCTGCTGCCCTGCATGGGGCCTGCTCCCCCTGCCCCATCCCCGGCAGCTGTGAATAGCATTGTGGAGGCCTTTGTCAAGGCTGCTCTCAGTGACGGGCCCTTTGCCCTCTGCAGCTGGCAGCCAAGGGCCCTGACCTGCAAGGCGAGCCGGCAGGACAGAGGCAGCTCAGCGGTGCGCTTCAAAAAGGCCCCATCTCTAAGGTCCTGCACCAGCGAGCCGGCAGCTGCCAGCAATCGGCACAGCTGGCCCTGCTCCCCGGACGGACGGCGCTGGGCTGCGAGGAGACGAAGCCTCCAGCCCCAGCAGGCAGGGCTCCCCGCGTGCCTGCCTGCGGCCATGCCCCAGCCGTGGGGGAGCACGCGCGTACCCTGCACGAGGCAGCCGCAGCAGGCTGGGAGCCCTTCCTGCAGAGTGAGGTGAGTGCGCCCCAAGGGCATTTAGTGATGGGGGCTGGCCATGCCCCCAGCTGCTGCCAGGTGTGGATGTCAGGGGAGGTTGCATGGGTCTGCTCTGGACAGCTGGAGGTGATGCATGTTTATTAGCCGTGTCAGTGGTGCCCAGCAGCCCTGGGGGAGGTTGGGGCCCTGACGGGGTAGATGCAGAGGACAACCCTGGCCCGGGGGGCTCAGTCTGAGTGGGCTAGGCAGCACCCCTGCCAAGTGTGCCCCAGCCAGGTGGGCGGTCTGTGCAAAGTCTGTTCTGGCCCCAGCTCCCATGCCTCAGTGCTGAGCCCAGCCCCAAGCTGTCCATCCCACAGGCTGTTGCTGCCTGGGGCGTTGCCAGGAGGTCCTGTCCCAGCTGTGGACCTTCCCCCTTGCATTTGGGAGCTGGCTGCTCCCCTGATGTGGTGCAGAGAGCTCCCTGGGGCCTTGCCAGCCTAGCAGAAGCAGGGTACCCTGCGTCTTAGCCCGACGCCTCTCCCTTCCTGCTTCCAGCCTCTCTGCACGCTTCGCTGGTCGGCCCCATGAAGGCCCAGCTCTGGGAAATCCTCTTTACGGAGCAAGTCTACAGCCATGTGCTTTATCTCCAGCTGGTGCCAACCATCCTGGCTTTGCCGGCAGCTGAGTTTTCCTGGCACATCAGCCATGGAGCTGGGCTCCGCTGGCATCTGAGCTTGGAGAGCACTGAGCTAAGTGCTGCTCCAGCAGGACCCACTCCTGGAGCCCTTGGTGTCAGCCCCAGCTGGCGCGTGGGTGCCGGAGAGCGGGGACGGGTGGAAGGTGGCGAGCTCGTTCTGCTCGCAGGCCCTGGGGGTGGCAAACCCGTCGGGTGGGCAGGCCTGGCCCTGGAACTGGAAGCAGATGGTGTAGAGGAAGGCTGACAGGTGCAGCAGGCACACACAGCAGAAGATGGCCACCACTGCGATGGTGTGGGGCTCCCACAGGGATGGCTCCAGGGCAGGGGTCCCAGGCGGCCCGGTTGCCTTCTCAGGAGGCTCGAGGCCACTCAGCCTCTCTGTGAGGTTCATTTTCACCCTGGTATTCCCTAGGGCTCCTGAGGGCTCTGCATTAGCACTGTGGTATTGCAGGTGGCAACGGTGAGCCTCGTCTCTGGCACCTGCAGAGGGAAGGAGGCTCGTGAGGCCGGAGCAGCTCCTGGCTCCCTCCAAGTGTCTGGACCCACTCCTGAAGTGGCCGAGTGTGTCCGATGGTGTGGGACTGGGCTAGGAAGAGCAAGCCCAGCCCTTATGCTCTCAGCATCTCTCCAAATGCTGTTAAAACCCCTAGGGAGGAGGTGTCTAACCATGCGCAGGACTTGGATCCTACAGGCTCTAGGATGAAAGGGTGCTTTGGGCTGGTGCATGACAGGGCAGGCTGCTTGGGTTGCTCTAGACAGCCCTCCTAACCCCTGTGAGAAAGAGGTATCTGCCCCTGCCCCTGCCTCTGCCCTAGCCTGGCAGCTGTTGCATGCACAGGAAGCCAACTTAAATCCCCTCCCAGGACCACAGGCAATGCAAATGCCCACCTCCCATCCCTGCCTGCCAGCCAGGCTGCGCATGCCTGTCCTGATAAACCCGCAAGCTGCAACTGCAGCCCTTACAACCCCATGCAAACCGCGGGGGTGCGCGTTGCATCTCGCAGCAGGCTCAGCCCTGGACCCTGCAGAGCCAGGCCCTGGGGCAGGCACCATCCCTCTCCCCCCTGCAATACTCAGCTCCTGGCCAGAGGTACCTTGTGCCCAGGCTCCATTGCTTCCCACGTCCACGTCTCTAGCGTATGGCAGCTGCAGGCAGAAGCAGGGACAATGGTCTTTGTACCTGTTGCTCTGGAAACTGCACGAGCCCTGGGCACTTGGAGTGAGCCCGAGCCAGTCAGGCTTGTCTGGCCTGGCAGCACCTCCCTGAGGCCACGAGCCTGGCTCTTTCCGTGGGTCCCCAGCTGCTCTCCGGCTCTCAGCTTTGCTTCGGCTTCCTGCAGCAGAGCCTCTGCTGCATGGACGAGTGCTGCTGGCGGCCGGCGGCAATGCCTGTCCACCAATTCCCGAGGTGCTCCTCGGCTAGCGAGGAAGGGGGAAAGGCACCTCCCTCCTTTTACGGCTCGACAGGGAATAGGAGGCATCGCCTGGCTAGGATCCAAACAGCTGTCCCTGCCATGAGCTGGGGAGAGCCTCCAGCATCAGGGCGACCCTGGTAGCTCTTTCCCTGGAGACCCCAACTCTGAAAATGAAGCTGTTGCTCCAAGGCAGGCTTCTGGCTGAATGCTGCGCCATCAGGGCAGCGAGTGACTTGTCCTGAGGGTCTGCCCTGCCACGTGGCAAGCTGGGCTGCTCCTCTGGAGACCTTGGCGTGGGCAGGCCTGTCCTGCAGCAAGGTGGGGAGGGATGGACCTGCAAGCAGTGCATGGGGCCTCCAAAGGTGCCCGCGTCCCTGCCAGAACCAGGGCAGACACCCTTCTCGTTGCTGCTGCGAGCTCCTGCTCTTGCTTACGGGTTCCCGGGGGCACTTAATGTCAGGGCTGCTCCAGGAGGCTTGTCAGATGAGAGTCCTGTGTGGGAGCCGGGCTCCCTGGAAAGATCCTGCTGGAACTGGAGATGGGCTTGGGCCTGGGGAAGCGATGACGCGCACCGGAGAGCTGTCACCGCCGCTGTCCTGTGCAGTGGGCATGTGTGGCTGGGATCTTAGTTGTGGCCTCCATGCCACGTGTGGGCTCAGAGCAGGTCCTGGTGGGCCCTATGGGCTGCTATTGCCTTCCCTTGTAACTGCACCCTCTCCGAGTCCATCGTGGGCTACGGGGCTCCCTGGCCTGCAGCGTGAAGTGGGGTGGGTCAAGGCACACGTGGCTTTTTTGTGGGAGTAATTCTGGCAAGTTTTTGGGAGCTTCTCCCGGAGCTTCGGCATCATCTCGATTTGGGAAATGGGCGTTGGGTGGCTGCTTTGAGAGGCCTGGGGCCAGCCCTGCTTGTCGGCTCTGTCTGGAGCAGGGCTGCAACGCACCGATGACGGGAGGGACCCCGGCTGCGCCCCGTGGGCCTGTGGTTGTGTACGTGGCAAGTGGAGCTGGTATTTCATCTTCCTGTTAAAGCGCTTGGGCCGCAACCTCCCAGGCAGCTTGGGCCAAGTGGTTTTTATTGCCCGGTTCAGTGCTGGCTGCCTCTTATCTCACCCGAGAGAAAATGCTCTTTGTTTTTGTACTGTGTCCTTCAGGCAAGAAAAGGCCCCAGGCCTTAGGATGAGAAAGCGCCTTGTGCGGGCGGTGGGGAGAGGAGAGCAGTGGTCCTGGAAGGGGCTGGGGTGGGTTCGTGCCCCACTGGGGAGCCAGGGCTGAATTGGGAGCTGTGCACAAATGTCCTCTTGCCTCCTCCCCTGCTGCGGTCACCACCCAGGTCCTCCAACCCCGTGAGCAGTGCTGCATGGGGACGGGGCGCTAGGCTGCCTTCAACAGGCCTGGTGTCTTTACGGGTAGCATTTGCCATGTACTTCCCCCTCCCTGCGGCCAAGCTCCCAGCCAGGGTGCTTTGCTGTTGGAGAACTTACTCAGGCAGCTACGTGGGCCCATGCTGGAGCTTTATCTTGCTGGGGAACAGGGTATGCCTCGCGGCTGACTATCGCGTTCCTGCTCTCCCGATTAGCAGCGACTGTTTGTGCTGCGGCCAGCAGCACGCTGTGAGCTGAGAGCAGAAACTCGCTGTGCCAGGACAGTCCCTGCCCCAGCCAGCTTACAGTCTGAGCAGGTGGTGGGAGGGGGAAGAGATGAAGAGACATGCCCGAGGTCACGGAGCACATCAGTGGCAGAGGCCTGTCCTCCGTGTGCCAGCTGGGTGCCCCAGCCCCTGCCTGCTCCCCCGCTTCTATGGCTGTTGGGTCGGCATCCTAGGCTAATGGCCCAGCGAGCGCTGACCTCCCACCGCGCCAAGTTCTTGCAACAGCCGGTGGGAAGGTCAGGCTCCCTGCGGGAGGGCGCAAGAGCTGACGTCAAAGGAAGCAGCGGGTGATTCACTGGCTCTCCGCAGCGCGTGTCTCTCAGGCTGTAACTCATCTGAGAAATGTCATCTCATCCTTGAGCGTTATCGCTCCTGTCAGTCTCCCCCCCACAAGCCTGCTAGGAGATAATTGAGCTTTCCAGAAGATACGTGCGAAGCTCACGTGGGCGGGTTGCGAGGCAGGGGACTTCCCCAGCCCAGAGAGCCCCACTGCAGTACACCTCTCGTGGGCCAACTGGGGTTGGGGAAGGCTTGGCTCTCGGCCTGGCTCTGCCACTGCCCTGTGAGGTGACCTTGGGCCTGGCCCTTTGCTCCTTCCTGGTTAGCAGAACAGGGCTCTGGGGTGAAGCGCTTTGGGTCCCATGGATAAGGAGGCGGCGTACAGGGGGCTGGGGCGGGTGCGACTGGCCCCGGTGCAGGCAGCGCTGTTCAGCTGATGCTCGGGCCGAGGCAGCTTTGGGAGCGGTTTGCACCGTGACGGGCCGGGTGCACCAGGCCGGCCTGCCGGGCTTGTGCTTGTGCTTGCAGGCAGCCGGGGCTCCAGGCCCGTGTGGTCACCAGCCTGTCCCTGCCCACAGCTCCACAATGGGACCCGAACAGCAGGGCAGAAGAAGTCTGATCCCAGGCTAGACTGGGGCCCAGCTGAGCCACAGCTGGCACTGTGGCCTGCCCAAACCAGAGCCAGGGGCAATGCCAGGCTGAGGGAAATCTGTTAACTGGCTTCCTGTGTCAAAGGCAGGTCATACCTGCGTGCTGTTCGGGGTTTTTACCGTCTACAGTGCAAATGGTTGCTGTGATGTCAGACCTCTGCTCACTGCCTGTCTGCTGTAGGTTGGGACCCCCCTGGGTCTCCATTCCTAGCAGCCCCCGGGCTGACTGCAGGCTGGTGTGAAAGGCCGGTCCCACTCTCTCCCCCTGAGATGTCCAGCTTCTGCAATCTGCAGTCCTCCCTTGGGGGTAAATCTAGAGACCGGGCTATGAGCCAGCTCCTTTGTAGGGTGTAGGGCAAGGCAGCTGCTGGAGGGCACTGTATCCTCAGAGGCAGCAACTGGGAGGAAGCCACAGGCAGTTGTGTGGAGAGGGTGTAATTGCAGTGGTAATACCCTGCCTGTGTTACTGCGCCGTGTGTGCGAGTCAGGCAGCAAATGTTTGCCTTGAGGGGTCTGCGCATGGCCAGGGATTGCAAGGCCGGTGGATCGGGAGCCCCCAGCACCAACCTGCTAGCGCCTACTCTGTCCAAGGTAGCACTGCGCTGGGCTGCACAGAGTTAATAAAGAAGAGGCAGGGTGGCAGGACCTGCTGCTTCCCTTGATCGGAGCTGCCCCTTGCAACCCCATGACAGATGCCTGGGGAGATGACTTTGGCCTTGGCCCCTGCAGCCTGCTGTAAGCGATGCCTCTCCTTATCTGCTTGCTGACAAACAAGCATCCTTCAGCTGCGGTATTTAAGGCTGAGAGCCCAGAGGGCTGCACCAGGCAAACACTGAGCCCCGGGCCGGCTGCTGCAGAGACACGAGTTCCCGAGGGCAGAGATTCTCCAGCCGAGGACCATGCTGCCAGCTACCTTCAAGCTGTGTGCTGGGATCTCGTACAGGCACCTGCGCAACATGACAGGTGAGGGGGAGCAGCCCCGGGCATCTGGGGAGGGGGCTGGCGTTGAACTGGTCTGAAGACACTTCTTGCTTGCGATAAGTCTGCTTATTGGGGCTCCTCTGTGCGCTGTCTCTGCTCCGCCATGGAGCCCAATGCCTTTTGCACTGTGCCCTTAGCTGCCAGACAAGCCTGTCCAGCAGGAGCAGGGGAAGGTTTCATGCCTGTTGGTGAATGCAGGACACTTCTCTTTGTCCAGGGCTGTTGCACTAGGTTTTATGCAACGTTTTAAATGCACCCGGTGCTTTGCAAGCACAGATAAAGAGTCCGTTCCCCGCTGCCAGGTGTTTGCCTGGCAGAGGCTGAGGCCTTCCTGCTGCTTGGATGCGTTTCCTCCCTGCCAAGCTGTTGCAAACAAGGAGCAGCCTGCCCTGTTCTCTGGCTTTCCACGTTGTACTGGAGCAGGGGTCTGCTCCAGCTGCTTGCAGGCCTGTAGCAAACCTGGTTCTCCTGGCTTAGAGCTCTCCCTCCATTGTGCTCTGTGTCCTAGGGCAGGTGTCAGTGGGCACATGCTGCTGCTGAGACTTCTCAAATCCCACCCCACTTTCTCATCTGAAGCCGGAGGTGAACCCCCTTCCAGTGGTTGGCAGGACTTGCTCTCCATGTTACAGCTGTATAGCCTCATTATAGGCCCCATCCCTCCCCTCAAGTGTTAATAAAGGATGAAATGCGATTTCCTGGCTCCGTACTGAGGCCCGTGGGAACTGGAGCTCACCTCCTGGGGAAGGTCCTGCAGGGATGCAAGTCCACTCCGCTTGCAGAAACCAAAAAGATGTTGCTGCTTAGACAGGAGCACTGCTGTGCTCAAAGGCAGGCAGCGGAGAGAGCAGATGGGAACGTGCCTCTTCTGTGAGTGCACTGCCTCCCTGGGGACCTGGGCAGGTGAGCGGAATCAGGGAGGCGAAATATCCGTGCGCCCTGAACGGGTAGGGAATCTGTCTGGGGAATTTTTCTTTCACTCGGGAGCGTAATGCAAAGTGCAGTGCGAGCAGACCTGCCCTGCTAAGTCGCAGCTTTGTTCTCTCGTTTCAAGGTCTGCGTCGAAAGGCCGCTGTTGCCATCAGCCAGGAGCTGAACAAGCTCGCCTTCGCTGGCGCGGGCCCTGGGAAATGGATCAACCAGGTTCGCCGGCGGAGTTCGTTGCTCAGTAAGTGCCATGGGGTGAGCCACCAGGGGAGGGTCTCGCATGGGTTTAGCCTGGAGTAGCTTTTGCCACAGCTCAGGTCTATCGAGAGCTTGTACCTGCAATACGTGCACACTTGCAGAGGAGCATAGATGCAAGCAGCCTAGTCTATAAAATCCAAATCCCAAACCTAGAAGTGCAGTGGGAATTGAGCACATGGGTACCTCCCCCAACACCCCCTCCACAGGGCTGGCATGCACGGGGTGAGCTGTTTTGCACCATGCATCATGTTGGTTTGTTGTAGGGGGGTGGAGCTGCCAACAGTGCTTCACCCCTGACCAAGTAAACTCCCCTCCCCGCAGGCTCCAGGCTGGAGGAGAGTCCCTTCAGCGAAGTGGAGATGTCCTATCTGAAACAGGGAGAGGAGGCCCTCCAGAAATCCCTCGGCATCCTTGCAGACCAGGACGGCTGGAAAACAGAGACAGCTGTGGTAGGGCTCCTGCCCATTCATGCATTGTTGCTGTATATCGTGTGTGTTGATGGTCAGGAATGAACGTTTGGGGGCAGCGTCAAACTCTCCTGCCTCCTTTCCCCGTAGGGCAATGGGGACCGAGTGCTGAGCAAGGTGCTGCCGGACGTGGGGAAGGTGTTTCGCTTGGAGGTGGTTGTGGACCAGCCCCTGGACTCTCTGTACGAGGAGTTGGTGGAAAGGATGGAGCAGATGGGAGACTGGAACCCCAGCGTCCAGGAGGTCAAGGTGAGACCCTGGTGACTGCACTGGTGCCAAGGGGGGAAGGACGGGTGCCTGGGCTCCGATTTTAGGTAGGGACTGCATTGCGGGCTTTGTTCACTTGTGCTGTGAGCAGAGACTGAAGAATTATGGTTTTGCTTTCTTAAGACAGGCACAGAGGAACTGCTCAGCCCATAAATACATCTGGGCAGGGGCTGTCCCTGCCTTTACTTTTCATCCCTGAGCTGCTTTCTCTGAGGAGCACAGACCCTCATCTCCTTTAGAGACCAAGCTCCCTGCAGCTGACCTGGAATGTGTTTTGCAGTAGCTGTAATATTGTCCCAGGAGAAGGGAATTTCCTAATCGGAGCAGCCTGCACTTGTAAATAGAGGCAAATTCAATTTACTGCAAATATTTGGTGGTGTTTATACATCAGAAGTAGCAGCAGGGCTGGATGCTGCCTAAACATAGCATCCTATGAACTCATCACACTAGACCCTGTGCTGGAAGAATCGAGCATCCGCTCCTACATCTCAGTGCAGATTTGCTTACTGTAATCTAACATCCTGGAAAGGGCCCCACCAGGCTGTTCTGCGACTGCGAAGCCAATGACGTAGAGGAATCTGGGTGCTTGCAGCAAGGTGCAGACCTTGGTTAGGCTTTCGGTGAACTGTGAGTGCAGGAATGGCCTGGTATGTCATCTCAACATGGGATCAAGTCTTAGACTGCAGCCCGTAGGGTTTGACATGCAGTGCCCGTGTATGCAGCATGGTAGGCTGGCTCTGTCTAACGGTGGGGAACTCTGTTCCCATCACAGATTCTTCAAAAGATTGGTAAAGACACGCTGATCACCCACGAAACTGCTGCTGCTACACCTGGCAATATCGTTGGACCGCGAGATTTTGTCAGCGTCCGGTGCACTAAGAGACGTGGCTCAACGTGCGTCCTGGCTGGGATGGCCACGAAGCATGGGGCGATGCCAGAACAGAAGGGATTCATAAGGTAAAGAGCCCTTGTCCGTCTGTAAAAAGTATCCCTCCCCCTCGACCCTACTGGCAAAGGACAGCAAAAGTCTAAAATACGCTCCTGGAAACCTTTTTATAAATCCCAGACTGAGTCTAACACATGCAGCTTTTCTAAGGCTTGAAAAGGAAAGAACTGCCCCCCTCCTAGCTAAGGTCTATAGAAAAGAATATGCCACTTCCCTGGTCAGAGCTCAGTTGCTACTTTCCTAATGCAATGCATTTCCCCTCTCGTGCAGAGCTGAAAACGGGCCCACGTGCATGATTCTTCGTCCACTGGCTGAAAATCCTTCCCAGACCAAGTTAACGTGGCTTCTCAGCATTGACCTGAAGGTAAGTGCGTGGAGCTCCCTTACAGCTGTGCAGGTCCTTGCAGTGCAGCTGTAAATGAAGCTGCAACAGTTTTCTAGTTGTTTTTTTAACCTGTTTGAGGTGGTTCTAGTTTTATCCAGTCCAGAGAGCCACTATGTTCCCCATGCCTATGTCTTTACCCTTGCCGCCTGCGCCTCCTGCCCTGCAAACCCCTTCACCTAACACCATCTTGTTCTCTGTTCTCCCTCAGGGGTGGCTGCCCAAATCAATCATCAATCAGGTCCTTTCCCAGACGCAGGTAGACTTTGCCAACCATCTCCGCAAGCGCCTGGCTAGCACAGCTCCTCCTGCAGTCGCTGTCAACTGCTGAAGTTTCGCTGCTCCCCATAAAGAAACCTGACCCTGAGCCACAGTCACAAACTGTCACAGGCCAACAGGGCCAAAGATATGTGCCCCAAGGTGAGATTGCCACTGTATTATCCAAGACCTGCTTCTAGGCTAGACTTTTTTAGAATGGAGCTCGTGGGAGGAGAGTTGGCCTTGGACCAGTTCTGGATAAGCGTGTTGCTGTACTCCCTGCAGCACAAGATCGCCACCCACCCACCCAGGAAGAATGGCTCCCCGTGTACCCCCAACCCATCAGATCTACCGAGAGCAGGTCCCTTAAAAAAGGACAGGGCCACCTCTGCTGCCTGCAGTATCAGAATTCTCTTGGTGCCTGGTGAAATGTGTCCAGCTTTGTGTTCTTCTACAGTTTTTGGCATCTTTACAGGGAAGCTACTCTCTTGCTCTAACAAGAGGGCTCTGCTTCCACCGAGGCAGAAAGGTGGAAGAACACATAAACGGCCAAGATTGCAATGCAAGCCCCACTCAATTTTCTCCATTTACTTGGTAGATACATCACAGGAACAGTTACTGGAGTATGTGAATAGGTATACTAGGCCTAAAAGACCTTCACTGAGTTACAGGTTTAAAATGTAACTATGAAGGGCTTGTCTACACCTGGCAATAGCCTCCAAGAGAGATTCCAGAGGAGCTCCCCAATAGACACATTTCCTACAGAATGCCTCTGAAGCTGGACTGAACTGCACTCAGTGGAACAAACTACACTGCAAACCCTGGGCCTCAGAAGGCACCAAGGTACTGAAGTGTAAAATAAAGCTGTCCTGATGGGGAGTTTGTGCAGAATAGTTACTGCATTTAATTCATTCTCCCTGTGCCTGGCCACGCCAAGACCTTTTGAAGCTTCCAAAATCCCTATCTGGTGAACTGTATTATTTGAAATGTTAATGGAAAAGGGAAACAGCTTCCTATAGCCATCTTAAAGGAGTATTATGTATTGTCTAAAACTAGTTACCTTCCTGCTCTTTTAAGGTAGTGAAGGATGGAAAACCTATAGTAACTCTAAGGAGACTGGGCTGTTGCATACAACACTAGAGTAATTCTGCTACCTGCATCTTTGCAAATATTCTATGGTACCTAGATTATGCTGCAAAGCCATCTCTGACAAGCTATGCGACCTGCCTGCAATAAGTTTGTTTTTAGGTCTCACAGAAGAAATCTGCACAGGTAGCAGCTTGTTCCAGTGCAGATTTCTAAGCTTTACACTGTAGTTGGCTCAACCTCCAGTACAGGCAGCTGCAGATCAGTTTTGCACTTGGTGGATTTCTGCTGTAGGAAATTAATTTATAAATGAATGCATAGGTATTTATTTTTCTTGTATAGATTTGCATATTATGTGACTATTTAATATTTATTCCAGTTGTTAATGCAACATACACACCTCCCAGTGAACCAGCCCTAAGCACATTTGTTTTAAATGAAGGTAATTACATGTAACAGAGAGAAACTTATTCATTGTGAAAATAGCTTCATCTCACTTTACACTCTAAAAAATTATTACCTTCTCTGCCCTGTAGAGCTCCAAAAGGACAGTTGCTATGTAGAAGATGTGTGTAATCAGTGTAGTAGTCTAATATACTCACCAGGCTTTTTTTTCCCCCAAAAATGAATCTGTTAAGTGTATGAAACCTGTATCAATACTTTTTAAAATAAATATAAGAAATACAAAGTCCACGCCTCATTTCATTTATTCAGAGCCTAGTAGAGAGCAAGTTAAACAACTGCTCAGAACTTTTATTTCCTATTATTGTGAGTGTTACCTACCTCCATACAAGAAACCAGTTTGTCCACTTCAGAGACTTGTATTGGACCGTAAGATCTGTTAAAAACAGAGTGACCTCAGAATATTCCCCGATTTTTTTTTTTTTTTTTTTTTTTTTTAAAACCACTCGTGCCTCCAGGAAGAGGTACATACAGTCAACAACATGCTGCAACAGTTCAGATAAGAGGTCTGGTCCCATGGAATTTGGCAGCAATGGAAGTCCTAACCTTCATAAAACAGCCAAGGCCATAACCAGTCTTGGGGAAAAGACTTTATTTTAAACTGGTTTCCAGTTAATATAAAATAAACCCAGACTTTCTTTGTCCCATAATTTTGTTTGAACACAGTAGTCTTGGTACAAAGCAATCCCTTGGTATGACAGCTACTGACAGTTTAAAAATCCTGTAGCACAGATGATCCTACTCCGTTGTTGGAAGGTATCTGGATGCACCTGCTTTATTGTACTATGAAGCAGGCATTTATGGCCAGGGCCCAGTCTTAGTAAAGGATGACTTCTCCAATCCAGACAGTAAAGAGAAATTATTGCAGTATGATCAAATAGTCATTTTGGTGACTCTTTAAAAGGACGAGTAGTAGAGGACGCTGGTAGGTAGCACAATACAGCACAGCACTGCATTCACTGAAAAGTCCCCGGCCTGGGGTAGAATGGGTCATAAGAACATAATACATCTAATGCCAATGAGTGCATGGCAGAAATAGCTGCTGAGTCTGCTTCACCCTGTTTTGTTCTGGCCAAAGAGGACTGGTTCAGAAACTGAGCAGTGCACGTTCCACTAGAAAGAAACCATATTTATTTTTCTAAAGTCCACAATTAAAAAAAGGAAAAAAAAAAAAGCTAAATGCCTGCACAGACAGCATCTCCGTCAAGGCTCCCATGGCGGGCTGCGTCTGCCATCAACTTCTGTTTCCACGTGATAGAGGACATCAGCCAGCGTGTGCTCTACCACAGCCCCCCAGCCCATGTCGCTCATCTGTTGGGGGTGGAGAAAGGAAAGTGTTAATGGGGCTGAGGTAGTCAGTCCAGGGGCAGAGTGCTATAGTTTAGCATACTGACTCTTCTATCAATTCTGGGGTAAGGAAAAATAGGTTCCATCCTAAATCCCAAGAGTTACAGAGAGCTTTAATCCCTAGGGTATAAGGCTTTATTCCTTCCAGGCTTTATGTACTAACTATGACAGCCTTGTTATCATATCCACATCCAGCTTCTCTGCCATTTGTTTCAGAAGTGTAACTCTGAAGATGCAAGGTAGGGGGCAGGGATCTGAGATCAAATGCATATTTTAAATTTTGCTTCCAATGAATCCACCGGGGGGGAACATGCTTTGCTTTAATCCCATTTCAAGCACAAAATAGGGAATGTTTGAGCTCCACATAATTCCTCCTAGAAATACTGAGCAGGATACAGAAGCAGTATCTCAACCAAAGCACTGCTCATTGAGATCAAGCCCAATGCATTTCTCCCTTTGCCCCAGTGAAATGATGCTAAAATATAAATCTAGGTAATGCAGCTGTACTAGCAAAATTCAGAGGAAAGTGATTATTAGGATTTTCTCCTCAGGCAAGTGCATTCCAGTCTCCTCTTCACCCTCGAAATCAAAAAAAGAAAAATGCCACTTCACAATTCTGACCTGCCTTTTGTTGACAGAATGGAGGCCCACCAGGTAAACTGAAAACCGATATAGTAGCAGTAGCACAGGAAAAGCAGAGTTGTAGCTGCTGCATTGCTACTTACTGGGTGGTAAGTGATGTCTCTTGGAGGGTATTTGAAATACGGTCCAAAATTTATTGAAACCTATGAAAGAAAAGTAAATGTGTTCAGTGTCAGAGAAACATGCTGAAGAGGAAGTACAGCGGTCAAATACAGGAGCCAGGGGACGTGGCTGCTTCCGATATTTGTCTGACTTAGCAAAACATGTCATGACTTGGTAAAATGTGGCCACATACCATTACGTGGCAACACATGTCAGCACCCAGGAAAGAAAGTGACATGAAAAGCTAAGTCTCTAAGGTAAGCATTTGGTCTCTTAGCTTTTAGAGCAACTCAAGTGTAGCCTCAAGTGGCCTTGGTGGATCTCCCTAGAGGCTAGAGATAGACAATGGCAGTTAATTTGGGAGTTAACTTGAAAGCCACAAGGAACCCTTTGCTGGAATGATTGTGGGTGTTTTTTCAGCTCCTTGGGCCAGGGACTTGTTGTTCTGTGATTGTCCATTGTCAAACGTGGTGAGTCAGACCCATGATCAGGGCTCCTAGGAACCGCTGCAGTACAAATCTACATTTCTGCTCCCTCATTCATTTAGTCTTCTAAACTCCGAGCTCTGTGTCTTATGTACGTACCGTGCAGCCTTTATACAGAGAAATGGCAGGGAAATAAACGCCTTCAAAAATATCTTTAAAGGCAACCCCTTGACTGACCCCGTTCTTGTAGAAGGTTATCTGAGAAACAAAAATAGTAACAGTTAGCCAGAGGTCACTAAGTTTCACTGATTCATCTTAACCTTCTTCCTGCCCCTCCCCATCTCAGATCCCTTCCATCTGACCCTCACTTGGTAACCTAAGGATTTTGATAACAGAATCTTCTTTAACACTGGAGCTACTTATTTGGCTTAATGTTGCAGAGTGCCTGGCACATCTGCCTAGATTTTACTTATGTATTTATTTAACATCTTGCATTCCTTAAAACACAGCTGCCTACAGGGACTTATCATAGGTTGAGGACAGTGAAATCCAGCTGCCCCATTGGCTTATTTGAGTTCCCCTAAGCTTAGACAACTGAAGCTTAAGTTGGAATCTCCACCTCCACCTTCGTATACAAGACAGGTAAGAGTGCAGTCATACTATTCCTGGTGCTGCTTGAATCCTAGATGAAAATGCATTAACTAACGTACACACTGCACCGATTCTCAATAACTTGTTTGTTCTGTTGGATCTTTGATGTGGTCGGTATCATGTGCCACCCTACCCCCATGCTAAACTTACTTGGCTTCCAGGTGCTTGTTTTAAGCTTTTCTCTGCTTTATCCACAAAGTCCTTCTCTTCAAAATACAAGTAACTTTTGAATTTGATCAGAGCCTACAAAGGTAAGCAACAGCAGCACTTAAAAACAGGCTGCAAGATGTTCGCAATTAGCTTTAGGCAGTATAGCTAATGGTAAATGTACAAGGATTGAATTGGTGCATGCACCACCTAGTAGTGGAGATGCAAACAGTTATGGTTAGGTCACCGATGAAAAATGAGGTTTAAACACCTTAAGTAAACACGAGGAAGGAAAAGTAACCATGTTTGCAACTAAGTAGGAAGCACTGGGCATTGATTAAACACAGCCAGTATCTGACGCAGATACTCAGAAAACATATGGTGAGAACAACACTGAAGGAGTCCATCATTACACAACTTACTTTATCTTTGTAGGTATCAGGAAGTGACTTAGCAGTCTCAGTGTCTTCGGGAAGACTGATATAAAATCCGAGCATATCTCCTTGGCCATAACCCGATGAATAGTGTTTGCCTATGGACTGATGAAATTTTGTTCCTTTTTTGCTTCGCCAAGAGTAACTAAATTTGTCATAGCCCAGAGGAGCCTGAAGGTTCCCTGTGAAAAGTCAGAGATCAGTCACAGATTCTTCCTTCAGGCTTCTGAATGACTGGACTGCTTAAAAGTAGATAGAAACTCAAGTCTAGTTATGCATAAAGCAGGGATTTTCTATACAAGTTAACATTTCAGGGAGAATCTTCCGGACTTAATACACAACGACATTTGCTCTGTACCATCAGCATCTGAAAGCTCAGGCACAGCCTCTGCTGTTCTAAGACTCTGTAGGTCCTTGGCTATCTACACCCACTTCACTAAAACAATGTAGTGAGGCCAAACATGCTGGGAGTGTGAAACACTGCCATCACAATAGCATGACAGAAGACAGTATGCCTGAGGGTTTGCTGCAGCTGTTCCACTCACATTTAGAAAAAAAAACACTTAATGGTTTTGTTGCTTCCACAAAAAGAGTTGCCCGTGTTGACATCAGTTTTCCTACTCTTTTTAACTCTTTGAATTATTTTACAGAGGCCAGAATTACCAAAAGAAAGGGAGAGGAAACCCAGAACAGGTAATAAAGCTGCTACTGTTACAAGTTTTTAGAAATTACTTTACCCAGTGGCTGCGACCAGCCGAGTCTGGCAGCTGTATCTGGAGGCATCTCATCTATGGATATTTCAAAATACCAGGCTCCCTTACGGACCCCATGTGAAGCTCGTACCATGGAATACCCCTTCTCTCCTATGACAGTCAATCGGTCATCAGAAATCTTTAACTGTGGAGCTGCAGTAGTCAGAGAGAACAAGGAGTTGAGTATCTCATTTTCAGTTTTCACCTTGCAGTAGCATACACAGGCAAGCAGACTACAAAGAGTCAATCCTACATCTACATCTGCTGCTTGAAGCAATTCTTTTTGGAGCTTTACTAACTAGTAAACTGAAGTCACAGAAGAAGACCTGACTCCATACCTCGGTCGTGCAGTGCCAGTAAGACCCGTTCATACAGGCATGCTCGGTAGAGATCTCCAGGAATTGGCTTTCCTGCCCAGCAGTCTAACTCCAGTTTCTCTGGGTCAGGTGCGTGGGGGTCAGGCTCAGCCAAAATATAACGATACCCATCTTTATTAAAAGGATGTTCCAAAGGATAGCCATGAGGTGGCAGGCGCTGAGCTGAAAACAAGGGGTCACTGCAAAAAGCAAAAGGTAAGAGTTAGTAACGGGGCAGCAGCAGACGCCACAAGCCACAAGCCTCCAGTGTTCTCAAACAAGCCTCCTTCAGATTTTCCTCTTCAAACCCTTCTATACAAGACATGCTGCTGACGGCACCACCCCCTTCCGATTTCCCAGTCTATATATGCCCTGTCTATACCAGACTGGCCGGGGATGTACTCAGTAACCTAAACTATGTCCAGTCTAATGCCAAATTAACTCCTGGGCAAAAGACCACTTTTGAGGCCTGTGCACCACTTTCTCCTTAAGGAGATGACGCCCGAAAGAGGGGAGCATCCACCCCTCCAGAAAGCACCTTAATGCAAAGACCTAGTAGAGTGGTACAAGTTTGCACAAGATGCTGCCTCCTGCTTCCAAACCAGCAGGTAACAAATGGGATGCAGGTACCCTGTGTTGTTAAAGCCATCCCTACAGCCATGGCTGGTATGAGGATAGTCGCTTATGCTTTCCAATTCCTTCCCCATTTCTCTTGGCTATCTTAAGTCTATTCAGACTGTATCTTTCCATTTACCTTCTGGTTTTCTTGGCAGTTCCTGTGGTCCCTCCATCTTGCTGTTTGCGTTTTGCTCCCCTTCCTTTCCCACTGCCACCTGCTGCAATACCCCCTTAAGAGAGAAATCATCGCAATTCCAAATATCAACGGCTGCTGGTGGCAGAAGGAACTGGTGAGTATGGAACCGCCATGGGTGCAACACTGTCACATTTGTCTATTGCTTTAGTAAGAGTCAACCAACTTGTACGCAGCCGTCTGAAATTTAAATTGACAAGCTGACAGAGAACAAACACAGTAAAAGCCAAAATTTAGCTAGAGAACGTGCTGGTTTGAATAGATGAGCACATCAATCAGGAAAACTTGCTTTGCTGGGCTCAACTCAAGCTTTTACTGTGTGAATGATAACTAATGACTTTCCCATTGAAAATAAATCCTATGCTATCATTTAAGATTAGTTTGAAACCAAAAGTTAATGCACGCTTTCATGGAGATTCCACGCACGCAGTTAATGCAGTTTAATTTTCTTTTGCAAAAGTAACAGAGACCCACTGTATGCATTTGTCATCTGAAGCAGACTTTCAGTTCTCTCAATGGCACACGATATGCTTGAGAAACACTTGGACACACAATACCTGCTTCAGCAGTAAGCACTTAACATTTAAAATCCAATATATAAAATAAAATACACCAAAATGGGGAAAATAAGCAATAAAAGGTGTCTCTCTCCAGCGATACCAAAATTGTTACTATTTGGGATCGAAATAAGAGAAAAGAATCGCTTTTCACAATAACGTATTTAACTTGAATTCAACTGAAGTACAGGACAAAACACTGACTAACGTCAAAACTGTGCCAAATTATCATGCAACTTCTTTAATGCATCCGATATGCCAAATTACTCTGAGTGTAGTATTTTAGCAGGAGAATACATAGGGTTTTTGGAAAAAAAGATTTTTACTTAACTTAAAAGGATGCGATTACAAGGTTTCTGTGGATTGCAGATAAACACCTTTTAGTGCGCAGTGTATTGTAACTAAGAACAGAGCAAGCTTTTAAATTACCAGCATACTTGCTGCAGTGTAAGGGCCCGAGACCTTTGAGGGGTTATCATATTCTGCACAAACCTGACCAGCTCTGACTACACCAGCTTGTGTTAATCCTGCAGATCAACTCCCAGCATATCATAACACGCTCCGCACTGGCAAAAATAAAGCCTTCCAAGCACGTCTGAAGTTTCCCTTATTAATGTTAGAATATTGTAGAATGGGCTTTACAGACCCATTATTTAGCAGCCAAAATGGTTAAATTTTGGACGTCTATTAAGAATCCTACTGAATCCTTCAAAAGAAAAATTCTGTTGGAAGGGACCTGATGCCAGTCAAGTGAGGCAGAATATGACAATTTAAAAGCTTCTAGTTGCTGAACATTAAAAGTGGAATTGTTTTGTATTTAGTATTACAGCAATCATTTCAGGACACACTTTAGATTTTTAATTGACTTTAGCTTCTAAGACAATTGAGCAAAAAAACCTTTCCAAACCACAGTAATACTTAAGTTTGAGAAGCTGAAAATATTCACCTCCCAAAGAGGCTCCACCTGCAGGAACAGAAGTGGCACCATGTATTTGTCAAATTTTAATAACTAAAGGAGAACACAACCAGTGCATGAACTGAAATATATACTTTAGAGACCTACAGTGACAAAAAGTACAGAGCATTTTTTAAAGACAAGTTACCTCATTAGCTGCTAGTAACATATGTGCATTTGCAGAAGAATGGCTTATCACACAAGTGGAAATTTTTCAGAGCAAGTTTATATTAACTAGCACATGAAAAGGTTTGCCTTGCTCACTAAGGCCATGTCCACGCAGGCGTGGACCTTTGGTTCCCTGGGGACAACTACCAGAGACGTGTGCCACCACTAGTTGTCCCTGGGGAATGCCCATGCTAGGCACCCTCTGGCGTGTGGCAGGTTACCCCAGGTGGGGTAGGACAGGCTGGGGCCAGCACTGGGCTGGCCCCAGCAGCCTTACCTAGGGTCCTGGGAGCCTCCTGGGGCTGCAGCAGTAGTGATCCTGCCACTCAGAGCCTGGCTGGCAGCCAGAGCATGGCTCCAGCCAGACAGGTTCCTGTTTTGAGAGGCGACCGCTGCCCCCTGTGCACCGCTCCACACTCTTTGTGTGGGTTTTTTTGACCCCTGGATATCCAGGGATCAAGCTCCCCTCCCCTCACTGCTCCCCTGCAGTGCAGACAACAGCAGAATATGCGGTATGTGGCACCGCAGACATGTCCGCAGCGCCACATATTGCACAGCCAAGCTCATCTGGGCGCAGCCTAAGAGATTATTTTAACAGAGCTGTTATTACGCCAGTAGAAAAAATATTGAGGTACATGACAAAGTAGACTGAAATCTCAGAGTAAGGAAAATGGGAGATCTGAGCAACAGGAGTTATGCCACAATTAAAATCATGGTGGTAGGGGTGGAGAGAAGAGAGAAAAATAGAAAAGAATGTGAAAGATCACAGTTTTCCTGATTAACTAGGTCTCTTGCAAGCAGGTATGCACAATAATTTGTATGTCTGGCAGCCTGAGAGAGTGAACTTGGGGTAAACACTGCTAAGGTAAGGACAGATGTATACTTCTGTTGATAGACTAGGCATAAGTTTAAACTGGCTCAAAGTGTTCCAAGAAAAGCAGTCAAATGAGTACGTAATAACCAATTAACTGGATTTTAAATTTTTCTAAAAACTCTACGTGCCCAGTTAATTCATAGCATACATATCCAAATTCAGGGCTTTGTAAAAATGTGACATATTCCTAAATACTCAACACGTATTTTGATAAAGTTAAAGGACTTGCCATTTAAACTTCCACTAGTAGACACAGCATTGTTCTGTTTCTGGTTATCATACGCTGGACCAATATTAGCCAGGTCCTGAAAGACAAAATTCAATTTAAAAGCGCCGCTACTATATGGATGGTAGTACCTACAGTCTGTTCTAAGTGTGTGAACACATGGTTCCAGCAGGAGGTTTTTGTTCTTAAGGAATTTCCAAGACCTGAAGCACTAGCAAAATTTTAGGAGCACAGTGTAAAATACTTTATTTGTCACTGAAGTCTTACTCCTCCTGCAGTCTGGAATGATTTAAGTTTTCCTAGTTCCAGGAAGGATTCAACTATGTGCCCTTCGCACCTTGCAGGTCAGGTTCTCACCATTTTGCTTTGTTCTCTAGTGCTGTTGCATAGCATTGAGTAGTTACGAACCGCAGGACTGGACACAAACACAGGTGACTTAGGTACGTGTTTTTCTAAAAAGAGAGGCAGGATTTATGTGAACATAAGCGAAAGGGATAAGACCACCTGCCTTTTTCTTCTCCCCATCTTGCCATAAGGAATTGTCTCCATTGCAAAAAAAGAAGGAATGTGTTTCAATTGTACTGTTATGTTAATATAACAGCATTAAGATTGAGGATAACTGAATGCCATCAGAGTGTGCAGCAAGGGCTATAAAGAAGACTGTTACCTTTTAAAAGCCCTGACACGTACTAGAAAGAGAAGCATCAGCAGCTGATCAGGCCCTGACCCTGCTGTTATTGCCAGATAATGCAACTGAGTTTATCCAGAAAGGACATGGCCAAAATTCACAATCTTCTTGCCTACTTTTGACTTTACTTGAACGTTTCTCAAACAGAGCTGAATCAGCAGCAGTAGCCACGTGCCTGCATGTGGTGCCCTATTCTAAGCAGGCTAAAGTAACAGGCTGTTGTTTTTTTAATTAGAAAAGTAGGTAGGTACCTAGAATTAAGTTATATTTATTCATATATCCCCAATATATACACACTAAAATAATGTGCAAGGTGTTCACATCAAGCCATGAAACCGGTGCAAAGGAAAGAATTTTCCCTTTGCCTCTAACCACTTACTTGATCTAGAAGGCCAAATTTTGGATAATCTTCCTCTGGGTCTTTACTGCCTGGATCTGGATGCTCTTTTACCAAAAACACATCTCTCTCTTTGCACTGAAATAGAGAAGAATCATTGAAGACACTCATAGGATCCTATCGTGTCCCAAAGTGTCTAGAATTGAAGAATAAGTAAACTAGGTAAACATGAAGCCACAACAAAAAGTATTAATGTCTGAACTGTTTTTCTACCTTCCATGCCAGTTACTAGCAACTAGGATACTATCGGAAGGCAACTGAAACTCTATCATTAAAGAGCTTCATAAAGTGTAAACTGACTTACCATTGTTTTTACAATGTTGTTTGGCCAAGTCATTTTTCCCGGTCTCTGTCTTGTCGTCATACACTCCCAGTACTTATCAATAAATGGTATAATATCCTGTTTTAAAAAAGAAATAAAATGAGGCTTTTAGTAACTGCGAGCAGTAAAAGATATAAAGCTACTTTATTAAACCTTTCACATCAAGATCATGTATACATTTAGAAATTTACCTAAAAGAGCTGGTAAGACTGACAGCTCCTACTGTTTGTTTGAACTTGTAGATCTAGATGACTGCTCTTTTGTCAAATCATAACTCACATTCAGACATGACCGTGTGTAATTATAGCTGTACCTTGTCTTTTGAGAACATTGTTTTTGGGTGCTCATCTTGTGTCCTTGACTGCCATGTTAAGTTGGCCAGAGCACTAAGGCACATTTCCTTCAGATCTTAAAAACAAAAATATAGCAGAGCTCCAGTTACACTCTTGATGAGGAAGGTCAAGTGTATTTATATAGCATCTCAAAGTTAGCAAATACAAAAAAAACCCCAAAAACAAAACAACAACCCCGCCCCCCTCAGCTTCTGCAATGTTTAGAAAAGTCAGCTTATCAGAAGATTCTTCGCAACCAGAATGCAGAACTTCACCAGACCCATCAAGAACCAAACCAGCTTACAATGAAGGTCAGTATGCGTCACTCCCTCCTCAACAAAAATGAGAAAGAAGAAGAACATCCAACTTTTGCAGGACATGCCGATTGGTTTATTAACTTACTTGCTTGTTTTCTTAGGAAATAGGTGTTTCCACTGTGGTGGCAAACATTGCAATGGAAACTGTAGTTGGTCATGAAAGGCAGGCATGATCTGTGAAATTAATAGCATGTGGTAAGTTACCATACACAACTTGAATTTATCCTCATAATCAATGAAACCCAGTGCATTCTGGAAAAAAAAAATAAGTGAGCTTAAATGTATTTATTTTTTTGGTTTCAGAACCAGTCCTGAAATTTATCCAGTAAAATTAAGCTGAAAGCAACTCCGGGAGCTTCTAACAATAAAGCATGGATTCGTCATGGTATTTCTAAAGTTGTTTTAATATTCTGTGGGAAATGTAAAATAAGTCAGCTTTAAAACCAGCTTTCAATTTTGAACTTTGGTGTTTTAAATTATTGTAAGCATCTTAGATGTCAAACTGCATTTGCTTTCCCTTTACAGGTAATTTTTACTTTCCTGCCTGTCAGCTTGAGTCAGTGAAAGTAAGCTGTTTTTTTCAAATGTGAGCTTCACAATCTTTTCCTGGAGTAGCCCAAGGCTGCAAAGACTTTATGAGACTGTCCAAATGCACAGAAAGATTAGAGAGTGAGGAAAACATAAATATATCATGTAATGTTTTATAAACCTGGTTTGCTATTATTTACATAACTCTCAGCTTGCTATATTTTACACAAATAAAACAGGAAGACAAGGTCTTTGGTCCCCGGGAATTTACGTTCTAAATATTTCTCGCTTTGTTTCCTTTTGTGTAAACCTAAATTTAGTACATAGCTTAGCCGACCTGTCAAAAATGTATTGATTTGAAGGATCTTGCAAACTACAACTTCAAATGAAGCACATTCTTCCTTCTACAATACGGTACAATATAAGCATCAGCCCTCTCATGCAAGGACACACTTGCTACCAATCTGTTTAAATACATAACAAATCAACAGAATAAAGTGCAAATATGGGAGGTGTGAGATAACAGGTGGCAAAGCACGTTGTGATGTTGTAGCCAGTGAGTTTTGATTTCTAGTGACTGCATCAATTGAAAAGTCATCCCCAAGCAGGTTTAAGTAAATGCCATCTCCTAAAAGAATGGCTAAGAAATTCAGATCATCTGCAGGAGTTAAATGTTACAAAATTCAGTCAGTATGTGGTTTCTTTTCTCTGAATAGGAGCCACGCAAGTACAAATGACATTTGGTGCCAAGCAAAGATGCCACATACGTAGTATCGATGCCAAAGGTGTCTGCTGTGAACCACTTTGTGCAAATCCCGCACTGCAGCTCTATCTCCCCAAGCTGTCGCCCATTCTCTTCATCCACAGAACCTGTCTGCGTGTCCAAGACTTCAGAGTTCTCCCCGGCACCTTCCTGTAATAACAGCAGAAGAGCAAACAGGCTGGTTTAGGCAAAGCACCAAGACTCAACCCATGTCAATCAAGCAGCACGTTTGGTACAGCACCCTGGATAGCAGAATTTCAAGGAAACAGAAGATTTCTTTGTACTTTTAAATCAGCAATATTTAATATACAACTGGGCTGGGAATGGACTTGAATTAATCACATGGCATCTGTCACTGGGGAATAACCCAGCAGCATTTTCATTCCATTTCTAATCTAAATCCAGCTGCCCCTGAGCCAGTCAATTTGTTGGCTATTCAAGGTTGTTGATGTTTTATGCTTTGCCAGGCACCCGATAACTAGTTAATAACATTTTGCTGATACCTCCTAGAAAAATATCTTTTATTTCTAATACAATTTCCCCTTCTCCTACTGTAATCAGAAGTACATAAAGGCATACAAGACAAGTTCGCTGCAACCAGCTTAGCGATGTTTCCATACAATGCATTATGCAAATCTTACCACATAACAGAAAGATTATTCAAAGCACTTGATTCTAAATTGAATTACTGCAGCTGGAGACCCGTGGCACCCATGCATATGGCACCTAAAGAGGTAAAAATCCTCCAACTATAAGCCTTGGTCATCTATTTATGGACAAAATCGCTACCATGTAAGAGTGCTCCGTTCACAAGGAGCATTTTTACCATTTGTTTTGGCACAGATGCTCCCAACCCAGGTTGTCCCAGGGTGGACAAACCCCTTATGCCCTTAGAAGGTTTTGACATCCACTTCTTGTGAGGACTTGCAATTCCCAATGTACCATATAGAGCAGTGACAGGTCCCCTGCACAGGTGTTTCTCAACCTTTTGCAGCCCCAGGCACACTTACATGCATAAAATGTTTCTGAGGCAAACCTGTGAAGCCATTCACCACTCCATACTTATAAGCTCATTGAGGCACGCGTGTTAGTTTCTCATGGCACAGCGGATGGGAAACACTGCCCTACACCTAGCCTGGACAAGCGGCTCTGTGCTTTGCACGTAGCAGGCTGCGCTTGTTCCAGAGCCAGCGGCACCAGTCCAGTGATCCTCAACCTTTTTTGTACCCTTGGAAACATTGATGACCAGTGCTGACCTGGCGCCCCTCCCTCCTGCCCCCAGTGTGCAGGGTAACCTGGAGCTGTGCCATCCTGCAAGGGAGTTTCCCACGTTTCTCCTTTAAAGGACAACCATTTTTGAGTCACAAAACTGAAACTGTCCACAGGACATGGCCAAAACTCGCAACCTTCTTGTCTACGAGTGACTTTATTTGAACACTTCTCCAACAGAGCTCGCCCTTTGTGTACTCTCGTGCCCCACTTTTGGGTGGGGCGAGGAACGCTAGCATCAAAGCAAGTGTCTGTGGTCCCGGTCTCCCTGGCTGTGGCTGTGACCAGAGGCCGAGTGCAAGGAGGGACACGGCAGCTCTGCGGGGAGGCAAGAGCCAGCGGGATCCTGGTGGCGGCAATGCCGTGCTGCTGGGGCTGAGCCCTGCGTGGACGCGTGCGAGGACCTACCAGGGCATCCTTCCCGCTGGACGACTCAGTCTCCAGGGCGGCGGTGACATCCCCCAGCGCAGCCTCGGCCCTGCAGACGGACAGCGTGAGCCTGGCATGGGCATGGGCATGGGCGCCCCCCCACGCACCCACGTGGTCCCTGCTCCGGGGGCGGGGCCACCCTAGCCCCCTCCCACCAAACCCCACCCCCTGTTCCGAGTGGCAGGCGCCCCGGCCAATGGGCAGGCGCGCAGCGCCGCGGGAGGGCACCCTGCCCCACCGGCCCTCACCCAGCCTCGGAATCCGCGGCGCCCGGCTCGGGGGGTGCGGGGGGG